GACGCCAAAGGTGTGTTCAACTCTACTTCTGCACAAGAGGAGCCACATTCCACGACACAGAATACAGAAAAGTTTCAGCCAAGAGGAATAAAATGTCTCTATCTGGGATGGCTGCATGAGGATGGATAACTCTGTATTCTAACACAGAAATGCTTGTTTCAACTTATGCTTCTGCATTCATAGTCCTTCACCAAAGAAGCCACTCCAGGGTGGGTGCTCCTTTAGTCCTTCTCATCAGTTATTTATAGACATTGACAAGATCATCCTGTGCCTTTCCTTTTCCTGGCTAAATAGTCCCAGCTCTCTCATCCTCTCCTGGTATGACAGATGCTCCAGCCTCTTAATCATCTTCATGGCGCATTGCTGGACTCACTCCAGTATGTCCATGTCTATCTTGTGCTGAGGAGTCTGGGAACTGGACACTGTGCTTCAGATACATCCAGAACCAGGAAATTTTCTCATCATTAATTCTGGTATCAAATGAGAAATGTTGTCCCAAAGACTCTAGAAAGACATGGGTGGGGAGACTGAGAGGCTATCAAATGTGTCTGCCTGTAAGAGAGTGGAAACTTAGGAGTCAGACAGAAGGATAAGGTGGCATGAACTAGGTCCTGTTGAGTGAACAGAGTTTACCTGAGCTGGGAAAGCCAAGTAACAAGCCAAAGGGCTGTGAGACTGCCTATAGAAACAGTCTTGCCACCAGACATGAGCTACCAAACCCTGCTGCAAGGGGTAATACAGCATGACAGCAATATATTACTTCTGACTCTGGTACAACCCAAGTGTCTGCACTGTGCTACACTGATAAGACCATAGAAGCCATGAGCTATTTGGGCACCACCTCCCTGCCAAAATTGGAAGTATGTACTCTGAAGAAAGTCCTCATCAGGCCTTTCCTATCCCAACACAGAGAAATAGCTATAAGAGCAGGTGAGCTTTGTTACCTAGCCTCTTGAGAGAGGCAGACCAGAGGTCTAGAATCAGTGTGGTGTCTTCCCAGACAGGTCAGCTGTACAGCTAGCCAGCAACTGTGACAGTGCTAACATCTTGCCAAAGGTGGCAGACTATTTCACACCTTCCTCCTTCCCTGGGTTAGTGCTTAGCCAGTAACCATCACAGTTACTTACTCATGTCAGAATACTCTCACTGGTCCAGCAGATTGCTGTTCTCCACTCACAAGCAGTAAGTCCAAGGGTCAACTGTTCCAGGAGGCCTAGGAAGATGTACGTGTCCAGACTATGTTGAAATGGTCATGGAAAGTTCTGTTGGCTGCTCTCAGATCATTAGAACTGCTTGAAAGACTTGATAATTTGGCCATTCAGCTGTGTAGTATTTTCTGTGTTGTCAATTATCTGGCTGAGAGGTTCCTATTCCAGCTACTGTGCCTTGCAAAAATGAGTCTTCCAGAGTTATTTTGTCCTTTCAGGAAGTCCTGCTTGGTCATGGTATGATTTGAGCCTGATCTGCAGATAGCTGAGACTAAATTATTTTCATTTTCCATGTAGACTATTTGACTATGTAAAAAGGTCATCACCAACTCATGGGAAGGCTTACAAAGGAATAGAGGAATTTAAAGTCATAGGTCAAGAAGGAAAAGTACATGCTTGTAAATAAGAATGGAATATGTGACTTGAGGTAGAAGAAGGTGTGAACCAGAGCCCTTCTCTGGAAATGAAATGCCATTTCAGGGATACTTTTGATAAAGCTGTAGATACAGCTCTTTGCTTAAACTAGTGGAATGTTGTGATGGGGTGATCCAGAAAGGAATTCCTGAACTTGTCTAAGAAAGGATAGAGCAGAGTCCAAACACAGCTCTTAGTACATAAATGGGTGGTCTTGCATGTCTCCTCTGAATCTCTTTGAACTCATTCATTGCAGAGAAGTTGAAGCAGTGTAGAGAAACAGAAAGACGTAATTGGAAGAGGTCAATAAACAAGCTACCTGGTGCCTCATTGCCACAAATTCACATGGAGGCAGAATCAAGGGCTCTCTTCCATGTCAGCAATTTTATTGTCTGTTCTTAAAAAACCCCACTGAAGGGAACTTTGCAGCTGCCCTGGGCAGTCTAATTCAGTGTTCCTCACCTTTATAGTTACACATTTTCCATAATTACCCTTGTATTTGCCTTTGCTTCAGAATGTGTGATTTCACATCATCCTTCACCCAGCTGTCTCTGTGAATATTTATGTCAGTCCTTTACCAAGTGTCAGACTGTTATTGTGCCCTTACCTGAGTCTTCTCCCATCTAAACTGAACAACTTTCAACCAGTTCACAAGGTTGTACTCAGGTCATGCCTTAGCATTCACGTAGCTCTCCTTTGGATGCTCTCCAATACAGTAACATCTAGACACAGCACTCCAGCCAAGGCATCAACAGCATCAAGTAAATCACTTCTGTTACCTTCCAGTAACAAAATTAAATTAAAAATACTTGTTAATAAACTTCAGAATTAGATTAGTTTTATTTTCAACAACATCATGCTGAGTGGATTTAGGTAGCAATTTTCTAGGACTCCCTGCAGATTCTTTTCTGCAGGACTGACGTGGGCAAAACTACGTAAAGTCATATGAGAAATATAATAAGTGAAGCCCCAGGCATTGACAGATTCACCCCAAAACCTTTTATCTCAAAATAATCTGCCTATTAATTCTGATATGCTTGGGATTCACTCTGTCCTTCCATTTCTAAAACACATCTCTCTGAGAGGTTGACCATACAAAATACAGACTCAGAAATAATAAGAATGGCAAATGGTGTAAGAACCTGAAGTGGTTTAAACTCTTTTACTGAAAGGGTTCTCAGGCATTGGAAGGGGTTGCCCAGGGCAGTGGTGGAGTCCCCATCCCTGGAGGGATTGAAGAGTCATGTAGACATAGTGTTGAGGGACATGGGTTAGTCGGGGACCTGTCAGCGTGAGGTTAATGATTGGACTTGATGATCTTAAAGGTCTTTTCCAATCTAGGAAACTCTGTGATTCTGTGATTCTGTTGCATCCAGCTTCTGAGAGGTTTTGTCATCTTTTTCTGAGTTTGGGATACAAGTGGCAATGGCATTTGATGACACAAATTGCTGAGGTTAGATTCTAGAGATGAAACTTAACTCTTAACAGCCAGGACTGGAATGAAGATGGGTGAGTCAAGAGGGTTGGAACTGGTTAACTTCATTTCTAAGTTTTTTCCACATTTCCTTTTGCTTTGAACAGTATTTCTCAGGTTGAAACAATGTGGGAATGTTACCCTGGTCTATTTTTTTTCATAACAGATGAAATGTATTCACATGTTTTTGTAACAGGACCTTTCCAGTGAATTACAGGATCAGCGTAGCTCTGCCTTGTTTTAGACAGGTGCTCCTAGTTCAGAGCAGACAAATTCTAACACACCTTTTTCTTATTTTCCTGAGCCTGTGATGGTTCTCTAAGTGCAGTCTCAGATGTTTAAACTAAAAGAGTTGTGGGGTTGAAACTTTAAAACTTTAAAATGCAGGAAGTTCTGTTTCTGGTGACATGACAGTACATGATGAATGCATTCAGGAAAAAACAGCAGGATGATCAGGACATCCCCCTGTGCTCACATACCAAGTTGATTACATACCTAATGCTCTGACATTGTGCAATTTTCACATTCTCCTGCAAAAAGTGAACCAAGATTTCTCATACCTTTAGGCTGCAGTTTGATGATACAGTGTCTTGAGCAGAAACCCTCTTTTAAGGAATCCTCTCCCCTTGCTGACATTCTTTCCCATTCCCAAACCTCAAGGTGAACAGAGTGCTCTCATCTAAAGAGGTTGTTCAAGTAGTCCTGCTTTAGCTGCTAAAGCTTTGTTCTGCTGAATATGGTACTCCTGAAATCTCATGGAGATCACTGGTGTCATTTTTAAGTACTTCTGTAGGCAGTGGTCTGGGCAAGTCATGTCTTCTGCTTTAACCTCTCTGATAGTGAAATCCTTTAGGCAAGCCAGGAAGCAGTTTTCTGCAAATTTATTGTGTATTCTGAGAATCTCTTTGAACTGTTTGGTCTGATCAGATTCTGATATTTGCCCAGCCATATTCTACAACCTGTGGTTCACTCACTTATTTGACTGGTTGTGGTGCTGTTGGTTAAAATTATTTGAAAGTCACAGCAACAACATCAACAACAACAAATATGGGAGTGGTTTTAAATCAAATTCATTTTCCAGTCAAGGGCTGGCAATGTGAAAGGTGTGGATCCACCACAGCTAACTTGGTCTAACTGCCCTCCTCTTCACCTCAGCCTCTGCACTGGCACTGCTGCTTATCCAAACCTGCAAGGAGACAGCCAAGGGAGCAACACTGGGTGGAAACTACTCAGCTGTTTCTGCAAGGATAGATCATGGACTATGATCTGCTGGGGCAGAAAGGAAGAGGTCTTCCTTCTCTTCACCTTCTTGCCCTTCCTGCCCACCTCCGTTCCTTCCCCCATCCCTGCTTGGCTCTGCACATCCACTTCTCTCTTTGCTCTGGCCCTGCCACTCACTGGACCCTTCTCTGAGCTGATTAAATTCACTCAGATGAAAGCAAGATAGATGCCTTGTTGCTGGTTTAGTTTTCTGCAGGGATGGTGAGTTAAATTAGCTCAGAAGAGGGGTCTAGAAGGCATCAGCACAAGGCCAGCAGTAAAACTTGTCTGCAGAGATAGAGAGGTGGTTATGTGTAGAGCTGAAGATGTAGCCTCAGCTTTCTGCTTTTCCAGACTCCTGAACCAGCTTGGGTGCACAATAAACCAGACCGATGCCACTGCAAGAGTGGGGACAGGCTGTAAGGACAATGAGGGCATCAATCATGCCAATTTAATCACCTTAAAACTACTGGAGAATGGCAGGCAGAGGGCTGACTCACCACACTGTGGGGAGCAGCAGGTGACCAGGTTTGCAGAAAAGGGAACAGGAATAGGCTGTATTGCTGCCCCTTAAAACTACTGGAGAATGGCAGGCAGAGGACTGACTCACCACATTGTGGGGAGCAGTAGGTGACCAGGTTTGCAGAAAAGGGAAGAGGAATAGGCTGTATTGCTGCTAAGGATGGTGCACTCTCAAGCTGGGTCATTGAAGAGAAGTTTACAGCCAGGTACCTTGATACTCTCAGCATCCGTAGCAAATGCTGGTACCTGCAAAGGCTGCGGGACAAACTTTGCTAAACACACATTTTGCTTTTTATGACTCAGACCCAGCAAGAGGCAAAATGCTGTGACATGTTAGAAATGGAGCAACCAGCCCGCTCGCCACAGACAGTTGATAGAGTTTGAAGAACTGATCTAAGCTCATTGTGACACAAAAATAACTACTACTCTAGACAGTTAACTCACTGCAGGGGGGTTGGACTAGATGACCTGTAAAAGTCCCGTCCAGCCCAAACCATTCTATAATTCTATGGTTCTATGCCCAGTGCTGCTCTGACAGCCATCCATCCTGCTCCCCTCAAACAGCCAATGTCAGCTGGCAACATGACCCTATTGTAACTGCTGGACCAGCCCTGATGTCACAACCCCTTAATTTGGGAAGTGGTGTAGAAGTAGAGGCCAGGTTGGATGAGGCTCTGAGCAACCTGGTCTAGTGGAAGGTGTCCCTGCTGATGGCAGGGGGGTTGTAACTAGATGATCTTTAAGGTCCCTTCCAACCCAAACCATTCCATGATTCTAAGTGGGAAAGGTATGTCACCTTATCAGGCACTTTATTGACTTTTTTGCCTCCATTTTCCTTCTGCGGTGTGACAATGACTGGCATTTACAGCTTGACTCATTTGTCTACTGTGGAGACGTGTGCCCTTTTGGGATGCCCTGGTGTGTCCCACCTGGCCTACAGCTGCTGCACAGTGACCATGGAGACCCTGGGGCACATCTGCCTACCCCATGAGGCTATCACGTCCCCGTGAACTTTTTATGAGAAGTCAGGATCTCCACAGGGATCATTTCCAGTCTGCGGGGGAACACGAGATCTTTCCATAGACCTATCTCCTGAATTAATCACTGTTTGAAAAATAATTCCCCACAACATAGGTTTAATCCCAGGCTTTTCCACAGAAATTGTACGAGCTCAGTGAGTCACTGCCTCACAGACACTGCTGTGGCAACAAATTCTATTGATAAACCAGCCGAGATGGAACACTGTAGAGACAAGGGTCTCATTACTGTTTGAACAGATGTCCCCTATTTGTGCAATGGGGTTCTGGCTCTGGATTTTGTTCAAGGTAGAAACAAACATAAAACATCAGAGTTACCCCTGGTTTCTGGGAATTTCCCGCTCTTTCCTACTTTCCACTGTATTCATCAGAGCTGTATGTCTGTACCTCTGTGCATCTTCTCCAAGGGCACCAACACACATCACTAGTGACTTCCAGGTCCAGCCCATAGCAAGCATACTGCCAGCTCAGGTTAAAAATCTTTAGGGTTTTCCTCCCTTGTTGTTTAAGTCAAAGCCCACAAACATTTTGCCATAGCTACAAAACATGATTCTACCACTTTCAGTCCTCAACACCCTCTTTCCTTAGAACAAAGCAGGTGAGTAACAGTAGTGGAACAAGTTAGTCCACTTGATAAAGTAATCTGTGGGTAAGACCTGAAGGACTTAGATGAGTGCAGGGGGAAATAATGAGTACTACCTGATGAATGGTATCAGGAAATATCTCCTCTTGAAATGCTTTGTGGGTTTTCTGCAGTGGCATCTCTGGTCAGGCTGACACTTAAAAATTGAGTGCAGGCACCAGAGGCAACCTGTTTTCTGGGATGTAATAACCTCTTCAGCTAATTACACAAGTTCCTGCATCTTGGTTTCCCTTTAAGAGAGCAACCTGGGCTGTTGTAGAAAGCAGAGGACGTTTCAGATGGATCTAGTTAGAAGATCTTATTTTTGAATCACTCAAGAAGGTAAACCATATTATACCTCAGAGTGTCTTCTTTATTTTCTAAAACACATGAATGGAAACTATTGTGCTGGGTGGATTTGCAAGGGAGGGTGTAATTATTTTGTGATATTTATGAAAAAGAGTAGCTTATTGAAAAAGTAAAAAGAAGGTCATGTAGATCACCTGTCTCCTGGGTTAAAGTGAGACCTTGCTGTTTACCTCTAGGAATCTCCTGCACTTTAGAGTTAACTTCAGTCAATATATTTCAACCTGAATACTGTGCAGAAGAAAAGATTTGGTGGCAAACTTGGGCTTCTTTAGCTCTCTGGGGCTTTGTAAGTTGAAGATATTTATTGCCTCCCAGGAGACCGTTTGTATGAGAAATGATGGATGTGTCCACATAGCTTCAGTTTCACCAACAGGTGGCACATAGATATTTGAGAAATTACTTGCTGAAAAACTTACAGCCAATCTTTCTTCAATTCGAAATTAAATGAACAGGGGAACAGCCACATCTGCTTGTGAAGAACACTGATATTTTTTACCCACTGGTTATCTGATATTTCTTGGCTAGTTTTCTGGTTTTCTAGACACTGGTTTGGGATTTTTGGAATTTTAACTAGCTGTCAAAGCCTGAGTAACAGCATGGCTCTCATTTGCATGAGTTGTTCTCTGTATGGTTTATTATGTATACAATTAACTGGGCTTTTAGTCTCAGCTACATGGTTGCACAAAGAGTGTACTTGAAAATAGAGGGTGACCCACAACATTCGAATATGAATGCAAGTTCGTGGACAGTGCGAAAGGTACATGCAAAACTGCAGCAGATGCTGTTTGAACTCATCATAAACTTTGTTTATTGACCTTTTTTTCCTTTCTGTTATCTGTTTTATCAACCCGTTATCAATGAAATACAAGTTCTTTGTACAGATAAGCTATTGTACTATATGCTGCAAGCATGTGCTGACTATAAAAAACTAACAGAAATATTTGTTTTGTTAGTGTTTCTATTATTAAGTCGTGTCACTATTTCAAGGACTTGTGTCACAACTTATATCCCCCCAGTGTTTCCCTCCATCCATTTTGATCCATCTTGGTCTTGGGATCAGACAGATCCATGGATGTCTTGAGGTTGTCACAAGTGGATGATATCTTTAAAATAGCAAAATAGTCTCTTTTGTAGAATTCTGGATATACGGATGGATGCGCCCAGGAAACTGAATAAACTTTTTTTTTTTGTTTGCTTGTTTTTTTTACCAATTCTGCCAGCCATTCATCCATTGGATAAAAAAAAGCCTGTAACAGGTTTTTTAATGAATTTTGGGGTGGGAAGATACTCTGAATTAGTGAGATGTTTTGCTTTATGGTTATTCCTATTTGGAGCATAAAAGCAGCCATACTGGGTCAGCTCAAATGTCTAGATAACACAGGTTTTTGGTTGGTTTGGAGGTTTTTTGCGGACATTTTGTTGTTTGTTTTTTTTTTTCCCCTTCACTTACTACCCTAGAATATCTTAAAATTAATTTGCCTTTTTTAATTGCATCTCAGAATTCAGTTGACATTTCTTCAGCCCTCATTTTTGAGTGGTCTTAGTTCAGAGTCCATCACAGAATACATAATGTCAGGATCATTTATTTCTACCTTACATTTATCAGTGCTGAATTTCACCAATTTCACAAGCCAGTCACTCAGTATCCTGAGATCTCTATGCAGAACTTCACAGGCAGATTTTGCTATTCTTAGTCTCAATCATTTAAAGATTTCCAGAGTGTTGTATCACTAATCACTACCTTTTCCACATCACTTGAGAACACAGGGTAAGACACAGGCTTACACACACCTTCCTGTGGAGCTCTGGTGATAACGTCTCTCTATTGGAAAAGCAAAGTGTTTCTTCCTACTTTTGTCTCCTATCTTTTAACCAGGTCAGTATCCAGGTGAAGTCTCACTGGAGATGAATCTAAGAACCACCTTTGATAAGAAACCCTGACAAATGTCTGCTGGAAACCCACGTCAGTGACGTCAAGTACATTGTTTGGCCATAAACTCATTGCTGTCCTCTACCTATTTACAAGGTGAGACCACAGATCATGTTCATGTTATAGATTTCTGTCACGGGCTCTTTTGAGCAGGGAAGTCACAGTGAGGCACCATGTCTACTTGGAAGCACCAGCTCTGCTATGCAATGTGGTCCCAATAGGCAGCCAATGTTCATTATCATCTTGGGAGGTGCTGATTTTTCTGCTTTCACCTGGTGATTCAGCCCCAGTTTGTAGGAACAGCCTTTTCAATAGAAAAAGACCATAATTTTACAAAAGCTCATGATTTTAATCAAGTTGATGTTATCCACTTGGGTACTCTTTGGTACTATTCACTATTCCTAAGAGTCTTTTCTGAGTGTTTTCCTTTCTTAAAATGTTTTTCACGATCTGCTTGGGTTCTACCTTTACCTGTAGCTCTCTGCTAGCTGTTAATTTTGGAGCTAAGGAAGTGTTTGTTAGGAATAATCAGAAAGTGTATGTTCATAGCAAAATATATATTTTTATGTAATTTTTAGCTCCCTTTCTCTATTCCATCTGGCTGTATAAAATGTGTCAGCACTTGCTATAACGACCCATGCGTGTTTTGCCTCTCCTTTTAAATTTCATCACCCAGTTTACTGCATAATAAATTAACCTAGGTATTAATGAGCTGGACAGCCTGTTTTTTCTGGGTTTTGATTTCAGGCAGCACATTATATTCTGGTGCCTCAGTACTCTTGTGTTCCAGCCTATTTAATTGTTAACACCAGTGCAATTAATGGAGATGTATACTAAAACCTCAGAATTACACATAAGAGACAGAACACTCCCATTGTTTCCCTTGTTAGACAAGGAGTATCAAACATATAAAAATTTCTCGCGGAGCCTGTGATGTTACCACAGCCCTCTCCAGAGTGGGACATGGCTGGTAGCAATAGGACAGGCACTCACAGCAACATTTCTAACCATTCCCTCATCTTCTGGCTGGGAATTTGCCAAGTACCACTGTAGGGCATATTTGAAGATCCAAAATCAACTTTTCTCATGGCAGATGAATTTCTAGCCCCTCACTTGTTCCTGTTAGGAATCTGCTTAGGACTTTGTTTTCTCCAAGCAATTTCTTTCTCCTTTCATTTTGAGTAGGTACAGCCAACTTGAAAAAAAAAAAAAAAAAAAAAGAAGAAAAAAGTCTGGTGACAGTGGCAGAGGAATAATTACAGACTCTGTTCCGTACTCTGTCTTGGATGGAGTGAACAGGCAGAGTGTGCTGAAAAAGTCTGAACATACTATTTTTGTAGAGTGTGCTGGTATTTCCTACTGTGTGAGTCAGCTGAAAATTCCCTGATCCTTTTACTTCATTTTCTTTTCAGGCTGTACAGCAAAGTCACTGGACAAAATGCCATCCCCAATTGCTGCAGGTCTCCACTGCCTATTTCTACTGGTCACAGCATGTTGCCAGGCATCACAGGACTCAAACTCTGAGCCATTCATCCCATATGTAGTGAGTAACCTTTCCCAGCCCCACTGGTTTTTATTTGGTCTCTGCTTGTAGCACCCAGCTGCTATAGGTGTCCTTTACATCCACAAAATCTTACAGGAACTCAGTATAAGGTCAAGTGGGGAAACTGAAGCCAGAATCTCCCCAGTGTGTGAAAGTGATGGAGAAATCCAGGAACTGGGCTCTTCTTGCTTCTGAGTCTTAAAACCTCTTCAGAAGGAACTCAGCAAAACTTCTGGTTTCGTACTTGTGTTAGCCTGCAAGGGATTTAAATGCTGTCCCTGAGTCTAAGCATAAGTTACATGGGCACTTTTCCTGGGTGGGATTCACACATCCTATGAGAGAGAGAAACCAAGTAAATCTTGCCTAAAAACGACATGTCAACAACACTAGCTCTGGCACAGAGGTGCTTTAAGGTAGGTGACAAAAGTCTCACCACTGTCTTGACGGCTGGACATGAGTACACATGACCAAAATGCCACTCCTGTGTGACTTGTGTTTAGATGTTGCACTTGGACTCAGACTTCACTTCATCTGTGTTCAGCCCCTAGAACCATATGGCCCCTAGCACCTTGAGAAAAGGAGGCTGAGGGGAGACCTTCTCACTCTCGACAACTACCTGAAAGGAGGATGTAGAGAGGTGGGGGTTGGTCTCTTCTCCAAGGTAACCAGCGATAGAACAAGAGGAAATGGCCTCAAGTTGTGCCAAGGGCAGTTGAGCTTGGATGTGAGGAAGATTTTCTTTGCTGAAAAGGTTCTCAGGCATTGGAAGGGGTTGCCCAGGGCAGTGGTGGAGTCCCCATCCCTGGAGGGATTGAAGAGTCGTGTAGACATATTTCTGAGGGACATGGGTTAGTCGGGGACTTGTCAGTGTGAGGTTATTGATTGGACTTGATGATCTCAAAGGCCTTTTCCAGTCTAGGCAATTCTGGGATTCTATGACCTTAGATCTGATGGACTGAACAGAACAAAATGTACTTTCTTGAGTAGGTTGAAAAAAGGAAAGGAGCCATGAAGAGGAAGGTTGTAACTCTAATCCATTTCTGTTACCACCCCCTGTCTTGGCAAACCAAAACATAGCTGGTTCCAGCAGCCTCATCTACCCTTTGGCAAATGTTTAAGAGTGACCAAGTATCTTGTTTGATCTGTTTTTTTCAAACTGTCTCTATTTTAGCACATGAGAGATTATTAAAAGAGTAACACCTTATTTTTTAGCATCATTGATCCAGGGTATACCCTGCAATTGAATCACTATTTAATGGTGTAAAATACATGAAGTATTTAACAATGTAACAATACCCTGTAGTTGTTTGGGAGAATAATTGAAAAAGAAAACCACTAAGTCCAAACCTGGGGAGGATGTGGATCATACTGGGCTTTCTGAGATTCTCATAGATAACCTCTAAGGTGAAAGGCAGTATCCCTAGCAATGCAAAAGTGCCAACGCACCTTGGGATCGTCACTGCCAGCGCAGCTGTGATACGAAGCCCAGCTCTAATCGTGCACCAGATGGTTCCTTTATATAAAGAGATGACTTAAGACTTGCCAAGCTATTCACCCTTTCTGTAAATAAAGATTTCAGTAGGACTCAAGAAACTGGCAAAGCTGCAAATTTCCTGCTTGCGTCTTTGCTTGTTCTTTAGCATTTCTTGTTAACTGTGTTGCCAATGTATTTTTAGGGCAGGATTAAAAAAAAATAAGATGGTCTGCATCTCACTTGGCTGCACCCTGTGTGAACCCAGTCATACTGAAATTGTGCCACCATTGCCCTGGTCAACTGTGTGCTGATGGCCCAAAAAATAGCTGACCTGACGCCTGAGCTGGAGCCAAGATATTTCAATCCCCTTTCTACTCCTACTTAGGTTGGCTTTGCTGCTGCAGAGCTGGGAGTTCAAAGCAAAGAACACAAAGGGTAATATGAGTCCATTTTCTGGATTCAAAGGCTGAGTGACCAGGTCTCCCAAGCAGTTTGCAAGGCTAGCCCAAGACTGAGAGCACTGCAGCCCCATAGACCATTTGCAGCTCAGGCACAGAATTCCTGCTAAGCTGAGACAATCACCTTGCAGAGATATGCAAAGAGGCACCTACAAACTCAGTACATCCTTCAGCTGGTGTGTAATATTTTCCTGTTTGGAAGATACAAATATTCTGTTTAAAGAGGAAAAGGGGGGAAGACTGAGGCAAAGATTGGTGGAGGGAAAAAACTTATCTATGCTGGTATTTTCTTTGCTAGTTCTTTCATGTTAACAACAGCAGCTAAAGCTTCACATTGTTTTTTCACAGAGCTTCACTCTCTTTTATCCCACAGATTGACAGTGTGCTAGGAGAAGAAAGCTTCCAGTCAGAGATGCAAAGGCAGAAGCGAAACAGTACGTACACAAATGTATGGTAATAGAGCAGGTTTCTAGTGAGCCAAGAGTGAAATTGCTATTGGGGACAGCATCTCCTGAGGTCATGAGATCATCAAGGGGGACGTAGTTGTGGTTTAACCCCAGCCAGAAGCTAAGCACCGCAGGGTCACTTACTCGCTGCCCTGCAGTGGGATGGGGGAGAGAATTGGAAGGGTAAAAGTAAAAGAACCCTTGGGTTGGGATAAAGACAGTTTAATTTGCAAAGCAAAAGCCACATGTGCAAGCAAAGCAAAATAAGGAATTAATTCACCACTTCCCAGAGTCAGACAGGTGTTTAGAGCCATTTCCAGGAAAGCAGGGCTCTATCACACCTAACGGTTACTTGGGAAGACTAATGCCCTAACACCAAATGTCCTCCCCTTCCTTCTTCTTCCCCCAGCTTTTATTGCTGAGCATTACAACATATAATATGGACATCACACTCAAACTCATACGGTGTGTGATGTCGGATCGGTCAGTTGGGGTCAGCTGTCCTGGCTGTGTCCCCTTCCAGTTTCTTATGCACCCCCATCCTCCTCACTGGGAGAACAGAGCAGGAAAAAAAGAAAGCCCTGACACTGTGTAAGCACTATTCAGCAAGAACTGAAACACTGTTGTATTATCAACACTGTTTCCTTCACAAATCCAAAACAAAGTCCCATACAAGCTACTATGAGGAAATTTAACTCTATCCCAGCCCAAGCCAGTGCAGAGTAAAGGCATAAACAAAATGGGTGGAAACTTCTGTCTGATCAGAGATTGACATATATGAGCACAGCTTCTGTGCAAGATGAAATACATGGTGTAGAAAAAAACCCTGAACCTCTTAGCAGGACAGTGGTCACAAGATGGCTATGGCTGACAACCCATCCACTTGCTGAGTCAGAGAGAAAGGATGAGACAGTTTTTCTCTTTATATATCATGCCATTTATATCAGCTCTGAGACCAAAGAAATCTGGCTTTTTTTGGACAAGCAGCAGATAAAATACCTGCAGAATATCTGCTGAGTAGGAACCAAGATTTCCTAAGCAGAATGTCACACTAAGCTACCATTAAATAGCAGCTGAGCCCAAAAGTCAAACTGGAAGCCATCAATTTGTGATTTATCCTCACACACAGCTTTGCAGTCTCATGCTATTTCTTTTTCAGTGCTTACTTTAGACCTTCCCCCACTGGAGTACACCGTTGACGTTGAAGTAAGCTTTAGGGATTCATCTTTTCTGGAGCCAATCAAAGAGTATTTCAAAAACCTTAGTCTTCCAGTTTCCACAAATATTTCAAATGTAGAAATGACAGTTTCGGACATCAACATTACAACAGGTGGGTTGATCATTTATTTTTATATTGTGGGGGATCACGCTTTTTTGCCAGTATTTGATCTCTCCCAGTTTTACCATATATCACACTTAGAAATCAGTAAAACTGATCTGTCTCTGCTGTCTACTGAAATACCCAACAAGACTGAAGCTCTAGCACACAACAGCATGTTTTGTTATCTGCATCCCACCACTCCTCTTTACATAATGTTGGCATTAGCAACAGCCCTGAATGCTTTTCTTTTCCAAAGGAAGGGACAAAGCCAGAGGAAGCCTGAGCCAAAGGATTTTGCTCCAGTTTGAACAACAAGCAGTCTGAGTTACTTTCAAGTTTCAGGAAGCTGTGACAGTGGTTATCAGACTGTTTCCTTCCCTCTACTTGCATGTGGAACGTAAATCACTGTAAGAGGCTTCACTCTCATCCTGACAGAGTCAGGCTGCATGAGACGCAGTCTTTTCCTGATAGAACTCACTAACCATATTCTTAGAGGGCAAGATATCAGACAGGTTTTATTACATCAGTTGTGGTTGTGCAACATCACATCCAAGTAACCAATACACCAGAGGATATCCAAATACATCAAGCGTTTACAACAGTAGAGGAGGAGATTTGTTACCTTCTTATCGCTGGCCCATAAAGCGGTGAAAGGAAGTGTTCATCGGTTCTCAAAACAACAGGCAAATTTTAAAGGCCTTCAGGGTCACGTGCAATGTGTGAAAATCACTTTGTTAATACCTTACTTTGCCAATGACACATTAAGAGCAGAAAATCTTACAGCAAAGTGGTTTACTTTTTTCTGGGGTTTTTTTGTTTGTTTGTTTGTGGGTTTTTTAGAGAGAATCATATAATGGTTTGGGTTGGAAGGAACCTTAAAGGTCATACAGTCCCACCCCCCCTGCCATCAGCAGGGACCCCTTCCACTAGACCAGGTTGTTCAAAGCCTCATCCAGCCTGGCCTTAAACACTTCCAGGGAGGAGCAGTCACAAACTCTCTGGCCAACCTGTTCCACTGTCTCACCACCCTCACAGGAAATAATTTCTTCTAATATCTGATCTAAACTTACCCTCTTTCAGTTTATAGCCATTGAGAGAGAAGGTATGTCTTTAAAGCACATTGTGATAATGTCACCTCCTCTCATGCAGCATTTGTCAGGATACAGTAAGAATGACACAGCACCTGACTAGCCACCAGGACTTTGAATGACCATTACATGCTCTTGCTGTCTTTACAAACCTATATATTTGCTTTCAGCCCAGGCAACACAGAAATATCCAATCTGAAAATTAACATAGGAACCTGGCCAATATGCCAGATAATTTTTTAATATCAGGCTTCACATATCCATTCAATTACTTAAAAGTAATTGATCAGACTTGTCCCTGTACCAGTCTGGTTCCAGTTTCTGGTTAGTCATTTCTCATTAGTATAGTAAAATTTGCAAGGCCTCAGATCATCATGTTTGCATCATTCAAGTGAACTCACAAGAAGGACAACATTTAGTTAAGATGACTGGCATAAAGATACAGCAGAGTAAATGTATATCATGCAATACGTTATGTCCCATTTACCATTCTCACAGTATTTCTCTGTCTGTCTGACCCTAGTTTGCCTGCCCAGCGGTGAGAACAATAGCTGTTGTGCTTGTGAAAATGGATATGCCTGGCCAAGTGCGGTGTGCAGTGACTTGATAACCTGCCCTTCTGTCAGCCTAACACCTGACCTGCCGTGTGGCTACATGAAGAAAATGCCTTTTGACGGGCCTTACTGTGAGCCTCAGACTGAAGGTAAGGAGAAAGAGCGCTGAACTTCATCATTGCACAACTCATGTACTGGTCAGAAGATGGAATTGTGTTAAAAGTGTGATAAAGCAAAACGTCAGGACTCAGCTGGCTACCGTATTACCTATGAATGTGGAAAGTCTGTAGAGATGATCTAGAGCTCTTTTCTTTATGATATGGGTCCAGTACTTGCAGATATTTAGTTTCATACTGGAGTCCTAGCTTCTGGAATCATTCACATGCCTTTTGGGGTCTTTCAGTTTAGTTTCTGCTAAACAAAAAAAGTTTCATTTCATCAGGTTTTCAACAGAGAAACTTAGAAATGTGACCAAAGTGTGTCATAGAATCATAGGATGGTTTGGGTTGGAAAGGACCTTAAAGATCATCCAGTTCCAACCCCCCGCCACCATGACCAGGGACCCCTTCCACTAGACCAGGTTGCTCAAAGCCTCATCCAACCTGGCCTTGAACACTTCCAAGGAGGAGCATCCACAACTTCTCTGGGCAACCTGTTCCACTGTCTCACCACCCTCACAGGAAATAATTTCTTCCTAATATCTCATCTAAATCTCCCCTCTTCCAGTTTAAAGCCATTACCCCTTGTTCTATCTGTACCTGCCCTTGGCCAAAGTCCCTCCCCAGTCTTCCGTAGCCCCTTCAGGGGCCCTGAAATGAATGGAAAAATCCTCAATGACTTGGGTAATATTCTGGGTGAAGACCAATCAATGGGCACAAAAGAATATAAAATGCTTAGAGAGATACTGGAATTTTCTAAGCTGGGCCCATTTAAGGACCTGTCAATACCATGCCTTGGAGACACATTGTACCCAGGGCTCTGGACTTCTGAGAGGTGTGTGACTTCCAAATGGAAGAGACACTAACTCTAGTCCTGGAAATACTATAGTAGTATTGATGTGGGGTTGCTCTATGATAAAAGCATTGCCTCTCAGCAGAGCTGATTAGGACAGACATGCTGATGGCACCAAACTGCTTCCAGCTCCAGGGCGGCCTCTGGTATCTCTGCATGTTGCTCCATCACAAATCAGAGGCAGAGCCTCATGGGGCTTTTTCTTGGATTGCAGAGACAACAGGTAGTTCTCCTCCCCAGTGCTACCAAGACTAACTGTCCAGTCATCAGTCAAGTTCCTAAAAACTCATGGGCATCTTATCATGAGAGTCATGAAATAAAAACAAGAAAATGGTACATGCTGGGGGTTTTTTGTTCATTCTCTTCTCTTGAGCACTATGACACTCAGGGAGGTGATTCTGCCACTCTGTTCTGGTGAGAACCCACCTGCAGTACTGTGTCCATTCTTCACCTCCCCAATGCAAGAAGGACATGGAGCGAGTCCAGAGGAGGCCACGAGGATGATCCGAGGGCTGAAGCACCTCTCCTATGAGGACAGGCTGAGAGAGTTGGGGCTGTTCAGCCTGGAGAAGAGAAGGCTCTGGGGAGACCTTCTAGCAGCCTTTCAATACTTAAAGGGGGCTTATAAGAAAGACAAAGACAGACTTTTTAGCAGAGCCTGTAGTGACAGGACAAGGGGCAACAATTTTAAACTGAAAGAAGGGAGATTTAGATTGGACATAAGGAAGAAATGATTTATGATGAGGGTGGTGAGACACTGGAAGCAGTTGCCCAGAGGCATTGTCGATATCCCATCACTGGAAGTGTTCAAGGTCAGGTTGGCTGTCCCTGCCCACGGCAGGGGGGCTGGACTGGGTGATTTTTAAGGTCCCTTCCAACCCAAACCATTCTATGATTCTAAGAATCTATGATTCTGTGATTAAGTTAGAAGAAAAAGATAAGAAATCACCCTGTAAACATTGCTTTTGATTATTTTTACATTCATTTCTATGTTTTTCCTTACAGACTCATGTGGTATGGGAGATCCTATTGTAATGAAAATGTCAGTCAGACTCGACACAGACTTTAGGGATGATCTCAATGATCCTTCTTCTGAATTATACAAAAAATACAAAGATGACCTTGAAAAAGCGGTAAAGACTCTAGATTTCTATCTCTGAATGTGGAAAGCCCTCTAAGAAATACGGTATTTAACCTAAATGTCTGGGAAACAGGGTGCACTGTCACTCTCTCTGTGGGGAGCTGTGAATTAATGCAGCAGTGGTAGCTACAAAGCGGGCTAAAGCTGATCTCCATTGAAAAGCAATGACAATATTCCCCTTCATTTTAATGTACTGGCCAACAGGGAAGTATTTAGGAATCTTTTGCATCACAAGCATGAACAAAAAAATCATCACATTATCAGTCCCAGCTTAAATCCACATGAACATACACATAGAATTAAATAATCAACACAAATTTGTCCTATGACGATGGGGAGAGAACCAGGCCTGTTCTGTCAGATATACAACATGTCCTTACTCATGTCAATGTTGAATGGAGATTTTCCTTTTTTAAGCACACTAGAAAAATACACACAGGATTTAAGTAACGTAATATGTCTTTGTTTGCAGTTTAATGCTAGCTACAGATGTTTACCAGGCTTTGTATCAGCAACAGTAACTGGTTTCAGGTAAGTAAAGAATTTCATTTTTTCCTGTAAGACACCAATTTTTCTGTCCATTCTCAAGGAGACACCAGTCAGCAAAGACTACTTTCACTCTGACTGGAACCCACGCCCAGTGTATACATACTGAATAGCAGTGTAAGAGCTGCAGAGGAAAGCCCGACTATTAGCATGGAAATAGGATTGTGGGGAAAATTCACTGCTGTGTAAAAGTGCAAGAAACACAATCCTTCTCCATCTGGATCAAAGCCTTTTGTGGGAAAGTCTGAATTCCACCCAAAAGGGGAAAAGGATGCAAGTAAACCTAACATAGTTTCCTAGGTCATCAGGAAGATGAACTAGTATATTGACCCTGGATCAGGATCTGGATGAGAGAGACATTACTTAAGTCCACACATATTTAAATGCAGCTACATTTTAGGTTTTCTAAGAGAAGCTTACTAGAAATAGACAGCAGGTGAAGGAGATGTCACAGAAAGATGTTCTTACTTTGGGAAGAGCTGTAGCACAACTTTCTTGTATACCAGAGGAAGTCTTGAGTCACAACAGGAGCCTTCACAGGTGAGCCCTGTGAAGCCTTCCTAGCCGTGCAAGATGGGTCACCACAACATAGAAAACCACTAATATGCAAGAATATTTAATTCTGGTGCTTCTCTCCTTCTTGTATCTATTTAGTTCTGGAAGTGTTTTTGTGAACTATGAAGTAAAAGCAGGAACAGCAAGCATGGATCAGATAGCAAATTCCCACAAAATTGTACCACAATTTCTAGATGAAGAGTACCAGCTAAACCAATCTACCTTCACAGCAGAAATAACTAGTAAGTTTAAAGCTCTCTCTGTATTTTCTCTCAACATTTACTTTAGTATTTCTAGCCTGAATCATGCAGATGCCTTGTACTGTTGATTATTTGGTACTGGACCTTCAAAAAACATTTCTCTCTCTGGCTGTTTCATTTCATCCTGGTGCCACCAAAGCTTAGGATTTACATGAGGTGACCATGCACACAGTAGGTCCCATGGAAAATCAAATCCTTCCAGCTATTCCACTGAACCCTGATCCAGTCTCTTCATGGGAGAAAGATTAAATACCCTTAAATTCACCTCCAGAACTGAGACAGCTCTTAGCATATCAGGTTGCTAGATGATGACAACCATATAGACATGAAACAGACCATATAGAGATGAAAGACACCATATAGATATGAGCTGAAATGACAATAATGCAGAATGTTGCTTTGTCTTCCCAGATGAGACAAACTTCACTGTGAGTCCTGTAGATATTTTTGAAGGAGATTGTGATAGTTTCACAATAAGCACTTCCCACTTCTTCAAACAAAACAAAAACCTCCTGCAGTTTCCATGAGAACAGGTTCCCCTTGGCTTCCTTGGCACATTTTCCATGCTGCTGCTGGACAGTGTGTCACAATTCCGTTGCCTGATCAAGTGCCCCAGAGGTGCTGTACTCTTAGTAGACTGAGTGCTGGACTGTCTGTCTCAGAGGATTACTTTAACCTGGTTGCTTCTCCTCCCAGTTTATCTACTTAGAAAGTAGTGGTGGTGGTAATATTTCTGACTTTCTGTGTAAAAACTTTTGGGACCTTTGTTAACAAAGATAGTAGAAGAATATGTTGCAGGACAATTGCATAGCTTTGTATCAGAGGCAGTGTCCTGCAACTGATGCTGAGTGCATATTAGTTGTGAAGCAAATAGGATTCCTATGAGATGAAAGACACCATAGAGATGTGAGCTGAAATGACAGTAACGCAGAATGTTTCTCCTTGTCTTCCCAGATCAGACAAAATTCACTGTGAATCCTGTAGACATTTTTGAAGAAGATACAGTAACATTGATTTGTGAGATAAATTCAACATCTGAGAATTTGACGTGGTATCACTTTGACCAGATCATCTCAACAAGCTTCCTGTATTCAATGGAGAGAATAGTTTCAAGGAGAACCTCAAGGTCGATTCTTAAAATTAAGAATATTACCATGAAGAATTCTGGTATGATTTTCTATTGCTAAAACAGTAGATGAAAAGCTCTAGTGTGGCTAGTTCTATAAAAAACAAAGAGGAATGCAGTGACAGCATTTTCCTAGAGTAAATGCAAAAAATACTGTCCCTCATAGTTTTCCAGTGTTTTGTTTTGGTTTTTATTTTTCTTTCATGAACTACATACTGGCTGGCATTGCCAGTAAGATGTGAACTGACTGAAGTGACTATACAGGCCTGGGTATTCTCAGTGCCAGGCTTCACTGCCATATCACAGGAGGCAGTGGTGACTACATGACTGTGAGGCCTTCCCACCCTTTTGGTGTGGTAACTTGAGGCTGTGGTTGAATTTGTCCTTGATGGCCCTTGCCCCCTTTGCAAACATAACCTAACTAATCAGAGCTTGGAGTTACAGTCTTTTGTGTGTTCATGTTTTGGGGATTTTTGAAAATCAGAAACAGGTAAAACGGTGGCATTTTGCTAGGAGGAGCTTTCAGGGGAGTTATCATGTATTATCAGAGCTTTGATTCGAGCTCCCACTCAGTCCTTCTCTTTGGACCATGAAGTTTACATTCAACCTCAAAAAGGGTAGGCTATGACCAGGTATTTGGGCACACATAAGGGAGGCAGGAGTCGTGGCTCTTCACTTCTGTGGGCTAAAGATGCCTTGCCTTGAACCTTGGTGTCTCCACTCCTATGTAAGTGGTCTACTCACCTGGCTATCCCAACGGTGAAGGGCAACCTACGTACCTAAAGTATGATGGAAGTTTAGAGTTCTGATTGCAGATTTCAAAAGGAAGCCCAGCTGCATCCAGGGGACAAGTGCCTGAGAAAGTGGTAGATAAACACTCTGCTCTTTTTGACAATACCTTCTGAGCAGCGGATGTGCCTACACTGCGGGTGACAGCTCTTGTGGAGTCCACCCTGGGCAACTCTCTCCCACTTATTCTGTGTAGGAACCTTTTACATAGTCAGTCAACATTCTTAGCATGACAAGTGGCTGCCACATGGACTGTGGGCAACATACGTATCCCAAAAACATCAACTCAGACAGATTTTAAGTATTTCAGTTCCCAAGTGTTGGAAATATAAGGGTACATTTGGCACCAGGAGCCTGCAGAAAGCATACTGCAAGTGACCTGAGGGTACATTTTGATTAGCAAGTAGCAGAGCCGCTGCACAGCAGGGAGATGTGGAAACTACATGTGGAAGTAGCTCCTAAATCCAAATGTAGAGGAAAAAACAGCAAAAAACAGTGTTTGCAATGCTAAGATGTTGCCTCTGCTTTGCAGGTAACTACACGTGCGCTTTCACAAATAGCAATCCGTTTCTGATTGTATACAAGGCCACAAAAACTATAGCAGTCTCTCCACTATACATCACTCCAAACTTGAACGACATCGATGTTACATGCAACAGTCCTGAAATGCAGACAAACAGCCCTCTGCTGTCCTGTTGTATCCAGACACACTTGCCATCACTGGCTGGTAACTGGAAAGTAAATGGAGCAATCAATATTGCAGGTAAGATTAAGGGAAGATTGTCTTTCACCTGCTAGGTTTCTTCATTCTTCAAAGATCTCCTCCTTATTGGCTACCCCAAAGGCTAAGTCCTAGGATGAATACAGGGTATGCTCCAAAGGTGTGGGGGGTGGGGTGGGGGGAAGGACAATGGATAGACAGCATGGTACAGACACAGCAAGGTGCCAGTGGTATTCTGGGCATTTCCATGCACTGTGCAGACACTGATGCTTAAAACTGTGCCATCCTGGATGGAAACAGCTGCCTGGACTGGTATCATACTGACTTTTTCCAAAAAGCTTATTTCTTCATTCTCTAATTTTGAAAGCAAGGGTGAGTGCATCAGTCTCTACTACTATCTCCAGAATAATCCTTGGGGTATGAAAAGCTTCTGTGTACCACATACCAAGATTTGGGACCCAAGAGTAGCAGGTGGTAGACTTTGAAACATAGATTCATAGATTCATAAAATGTTGTGAGTTAGAAGGGATCCACAAGGGCCATCAGGTCCAACTCTTGCCCTAGCATAGGACAATCCCAACATTCAGAACATGTGTCTGAGGACCTTGGCAAAATGCTTCTGGAGTATTTTCAGGCTTGGTGCCATGACCACCTCCCTGGGGAGCCTGTTCCAGTGCTCCACCACCCTCTGCCTCAAGAACCTTTTCCTAATGTCCAACCTAAACCTCCCCTGGCACATCTTCCTGACATTTCCTCTGGTCTTATCATTGGTCACCAGAGAGGAGAGATCAGCACCTGCCCCTCCTCTTCCCTTTGGGAGGAAGTTCTAGACTGCGATGAGATTTCCTCTCAGTCTCCTCTTCTCCAGGCTGAACAATCCAAGCAACTTCAGCCTCTCCTCATACAGCTTCCCCTCTAAGCCCTTCACCAATTTTGTGGCCTCCTCTGGACATTCTCTAGTAGCTTTATATCCTGCAGCGTACCTAAATACTGAGTGCACAGTTTCGCTCTCCACCTGTAGTTTTGATACATCAAATGCTAGTTGAGTCAGTTGCATCCCACAAGGCTTTACTTGTAATATGAATATAAAGAATTAATGAAGCGCCAAGTAAATGTGTTACAGGGAGTTACAAAATAACATCAATAGAAACTCTCATAAATGTGTATGAACCATAGTCATAAACAGCCTATTGTCCTCTTAATATTTTATGGGCATAGATTAACTGTTTATTGCTAACTGTTTGTTATAAATGAAATTTAGCAGAAAGCAGGACAGCAAAATGAAGGAAAACCTTCAAAGCTCATGTGCACAGTCATTTCCACAGAGAATAGGTACTGCTTGTAGAGAAGGGGGTGAACCTGGCCTACTGAAATGAGCTGTTTTGTCCTTGATTCCCTGTAGCCAGGCTTTCCCCCTGGGAATTCTGCTCTCATGCCAGAAGCACTTTCAGCTGCAGCATGGGACATCTTTAGTGGGATTTTCCTCAATAGCTAAACCAGCACTCTTCAGATTTAGAGTTGAATGACTGTCAAGTACCTCCAAATGTTTATTGCAGAAGATGACACTAAAATCTGCAGTATTTACTCCTGTTTTATTTATCTTACTCATCTTAAATATTGCAGATAAAGACGTTAGGCTAAACCAGAATATTTTTCATTTTGGCTTACCCTGAGGTATCCAAGCAATGTTGTTGCTCTGAGTTAGACTGGTTTTGGTAACAGGTGCCCAGCACTGTTCTGAGAGTCATCTTCAGGCCTTTGGAAGACTACCGTGAGTGTCGTCAGAGTAAAATAAATGAATGAACTTCAGCAATGATGAAATAAAAGTGCTGTGCTGTTGAAGGTTACATACAAACCCACAAGGTTTTCCTTAGCTAGAGCGATTGCTTAGGATTTCTAGAGCCCAGGTGTTTTTGGATATCCATAGCTCTTCAAGTAATGTTTATTTCTCTCTAGGAGTCTCTAGCTTCAGTGAAAACTGCACTGAATACAAGCTCAACATCAATGAATCACTATGTCCACCTGAGAAGTCAGGTACAGTGACAACATATACATGTGAGCTTCAGACTGGACACGGTGCCAGAAGCAGTGAAAACATCAGAGTGACCTATCTCCGGGCAGGTAAGAGTCAGGTAGCATGGAACAGACCATCAGCTCTTTAACATGTAGGTGGCCTCTGTGGCACACGTCATTTACAAGCAAATGGTTATAACAAGTGACTCTCAATAATATGACATTTATTTTGTGTTGCCTCAGCCCATGTTACAATATTGTCGAGCACGAACTCATCAGTTTCTGAGGGATATGCTTTCAATCTGACGTGTGAAAGTGATGTGAGCAATTATGACCGTATCAGTTGGAAAATCCAGTCTGGAAATAACACAAAAACCATAGACTGCGGTACTTGCATCAAAAATAGCAGATTTCCAGCCACGTCTGTGCTCACGGTGAAGACTGCCACACAGGACTGGAGTGGTGAGTAAACAGTTTGTACTGGCTACAAAGGCAATGAAATCTCCGTGCCGGAGCATTTCCAGCACCCCTAGCCCTGCAATCACTGTGAAGCCTAGACACAGTAAATAAGTTTTTTAAAAAAGTTACAATTATAACTGCTGGAGGACAGCAAGACATGATCATAGAATCATAGAATGGTTAGGATTGGAAGGAACCTTAAAGATCATCTAGTTCCAACCCCCCTGCCATCAGCAGGGACACCTTCCACTAGACCACGTTGCTCAAAGCCTCATCCAGCCTGGCCTTCAAAACTTCCAGGGAGGGGGCATCCACAACTTCCTTGGGCAACCTACTTCCTTGGGCAATGGTGCTGCCAACAACACTGTACTTTTCCATATTAGGACTCATGACCGTGCAAAAGCTGAGGAGCACTTCTGTTGACAAAGACATGGTTTTTGTGTCACTTCTTTCAGGCACTTATATCTGTACATTCTCCCAGAAGCACTTGGAGAGTTCTGCCAACGTTACAATCGAAGTTGCTTCCTTGCCTCTGAAGCAGAACATCCTGATAGACCCCATTAGAGCATCTATACAGTGCAAAGTGCAACAAACCCTTGAGTGCTGCATAAGTGCTAACACCATGGAAGATTACACCGTCACGTTCATGGTTCAACAAAATGAATTTCACGTTGGTAAGAAACAATCAACTCACAGAATCACTACCTGCAGTATGTGTCACAACCCAGGCCCTGGTTCTCTTTTGTTTTCAGTTAGGTCTGTGTAACTGATTCATACTTACTGCTATTATGACAACCCACAAGTACTCCTGAGAGGGTAAAAAAAGGAAAATGAACTTTTTTTAGGATGGCTGCCATGCCTGGGGAGCATGGCTGACATTAATAGAAGAGGAATTGAAGTCACTGTTGTCGTGTTAAATACGTGATACATAAATTCAATGTTTGGTTTGCTTTGCCAGGCAGTGAGAAGTGAGCATCCTCTTCATTGTTCAGATTAGAAATTGTTGAACTTTTATCTTCCACTCTCCCACTTTTTGAACTGAGTATCAAGGAACAATTACTTAACAAAAAGATCTACTAATTCATGAAAAATGGAGAATAACATTAAGAATGCAATTCAAAGAACTATTCTTTTTTTTTTTTTTTTTTTTTCAAGGATACAGGCAACATTTTGAACAGCACAAAAGCCTAAATTTCTATGTCTTCAAATTTAGGGCAGTTCTGCAGTTTCCCTGGCATGTTTTTATATGCTAGAAGCTCTCAAGTGGGTTACAAAACAGTTAATTTTAAAAAGCAAAGAAGACCAACCTAAACTAACTCAGAAAACATGAAGGAGTGGAAAAACAACAGGCTGAAGTGTAAGGCAGGTGGAGGCTGAGGGGTCCTTTGGTTGCTAAGACAAATGCCAAGATCTTCTTGGAAGAGACTGCAGTCAGGGACCCTCAGGCACAGGCAAACTGAAAAGCAATGGGGGGGTGGTACAGATCATGAGTCCAAAAGAACCTTATAAGCACAGTAGATAAGTATCCTAGCCTAAATGAAACACCTGTGGTAGAAGCAGAAGCAGGAAGAACGTTCTCCACAATGTTTTTTTAAAGCAGATTTGGATTCCTGCACAGTAAGAGAAGGTTTGAGCAGGATTTGTTCATACATCAGTAACTGAAAAGGTACAGAGCAGCTGTCAGGAGATTTATAAAGCAGGGAATAAGAGACAGAGATCAGCATTCAGAAGGAAGTTTTTCCACAAAGGAATTTATTTTCTTTGAGACCCACAGGAAATAAAGTTTGCAGAAGCTTTCTGCTATCTGTTCACCAATTGATCCCAAATCTATATTAACATATCTTAATCTTTCCACACAGGGAAAAAGAAAAAAGGAAATTTTTTTTGCTACATATACAACTACACAGAAACAGAACACTGCAAAGAGAAAGAGATCAGGGCATATTGCAAGTTTATTAACCGCATTGGACAGAAAGTCAGCAGTGAAAGTATAAGACTGCATCTGATCCCTGGTAAGAAAAAAGTTACTGTTTAAACCTGTTAAATAGGAAATCTCAGTATCTTTGTTAAATCAGATTCCACAAATTTAACACTGGTGACACCTAACAGGAGCGGAGATAGCCAAGAATTTTTGTCTCCTTTTTTGATGGGAAATTTCACAATACAGAGGAAAATATCAGCTTTGCCATAATTTTAAAAAATAAACAAGATGTTTTGTCTTCACTGCGTTTGACAGTGGCCGCAATAAGTTCCCAAGAAGTTATAGTTCAGTCATCTTCTGCCCCTGCTTCCTTCTGGTGTAGCCTGAGCCACCGAGCTTCATCTCCTGTGTTGAAACATGGTTATGCAGCTCTCAGCTTGCACCAACAAGTTAGCAACAACAGCAGATTGTGGTGTCTCAGGAAGAAGTCATCTAGCTCAGGAGGTCAGCTTGTGGGAGAGCATATCCACTTTAAACACAAGAATGGCAACCTCCATGAGATGTCTCAGAGACCTGGGTAGATCCAACTTCCAGGCAGCTTTGCAGGAAATACTGGATAATTAGGACTCAGCAATGCTCAATCCAGTTTTAATGTTTAGTTTGGGCATTTCAGCTTCTTATTCTAAAAAAGAAAGAAAGAAAGAAAGAAAGAAAGAAAGAAAGAAAGAAAGAAAGAAAGAAAGAAAGAAAGAAAGAAAGAAAGAAAGAAAGAAAGAAAGAAAGAAAGAAAGGAAGGAAGGAAGGAAGGAAGGAAGAAAAGAAGGAAGAAAAGAAGGAAGAAAAGAAGGAAAGAAAGATACTGGACATCCTCATAATGCAGAAATTTAGTTTTTTTCTACAGTAGTGGTGCCTACTATTGAATCACTGTATCTGGCCAGATTTCACTCTTTTAGGCAATAAATATCCAGACACTTCATTTACTTTAATGAGCAGATGCTTACTGATATGTCTAACCAAATTAAAGCCAATTAGCAAGACTCACATTCATGAAAAAGGTGTTGAGGTCTTATCAAGGCCTTAATGAATTTCCTATTAGTGCTACAGCAGCACTGAGTTCCTCAGCAGAATAAACACTGTGTGAATTATTGTTCACATAGTGGCCAATATAATCCCACTCTACCCCTATCTAACTCTGTAATCTACTAGACAAATCCTAAAACTTTGGATATTGGTTTATTGATTTGATTCAGTACTCAAAAACAAGGGACTTTCTTCAAGTTCTTTTTTAATTTCACTGTTCCAAAAAATTAAGAATGCAAGACTTATACACCCTGAAACATCATAATTACTGAACAGAGCAAGCTGAAATCCTAACTAATTTTAAGACCTCTGAATTTCAGGAGGTCACAGGTTTGATGAGGATAGATTATTAATTTCCCTGCTTCTCAGTTTTCTATTTGTATGTCTTTGTCTCAATACAGATAAAGAAGTTTCCTGCTCAGACAGCTTGGGCATTGGAAGAGAAGGGTCCATATTAATAAAGCCATGTCGTGAGTTAAATAATACAGATGGCTTTACCCGAGGCAATAAAACTTACAAGTGCTCCAACAAATCATGGAAGGTTGAAAGGAATGACTGCCTGTCTGCACCAATAAGCAACTTGCTGACTAATGCTGAGGTAACCTTTATGAGTTTTCTAGAGGTTGGGGTGGAGCAGGGTGGGGGGCGGGTAGGAGAGAGCAAAAATTTTTGTTGAGTGTTTTTTTCTTGACTTAGTCTAAAATAAAGAATTTCTTTCCTGAAAGGGTTCCCAGGCATTGCAAGGGCTTGTCCGGGGCAGTGGTGGAGTCCCCATCCCTGGAGGGATTGAAGAGTCATGTAGACATAGTGCTAAGTGACATGGTTTGGTTGGGGACTTGTCAGTTTTGGGTTTATGATTAGACTCGATGATATTAAAGGTCTTTTCCAATCTAGGCAATTAAGTGAAAATACATGAAGCATTAAAAAAATCAAATATTTAATTAAAACTGTCTTTTAAAAGATGTAGAAATTGATTGACTATATCTACACAAGTCAGTGAGAAAGGCCAGGTCCCCTTGTCATATGGCCCAGATGGCATGTGGCACTGCATGGCTAACTTCCATACACACGAACACTCCCTCCTCCAGACAAGGTGACCTTAATTCATCACATTCAACAGGAGCAGTTGCTGGCCTGGGGTGTTCCCTGAACCATGCTCAGGCATTGCCTTGGTGAACATCAGTTGGCACAAGCCCAAAGCATGCTGCAGAGTACTCTGAAAACGATGCAGTAGGGACAGCTCTGGGCCACTGCCCAACCTTAGACCTAGATCCTGTTTATCATTCCCCTTCAGCCACTACACTTCACAGATAGGTGCTGGACCTTGGTTTTCAGCCTAGGTATCCTATCATGGTGCTTTTCACTTCGGCCAACCATCCAGAGTCACCCTTCTCTTAGTGAAGTTAGATGAGAACAATTATCTTTCTTTCATCAAATATTGACTATGTTTATTTTAGTTAATTAGGCACAGCAAGGTCCCAGGCAGAGGTACAACTCCTCAATTATGTGTTTTCTGAACTTGCTAGACTGCTCCTTCATATGGTTGGGGCCCAGGTCATCTATTTTCTCCCCTCAAATTTCCAGTAGCAGTCTGTGAGTTACCACAGACAAGACACTGCTCTCAAGAGGGGGTTAAGATACCTTGTTCTGGAAGGTCAGAGAGTTGAACACTATCAGCATGTCTAGAATGACCCTGGCTCTGTTTATTTTGCTAGCATAGGGGTAGCTGTTATGAAGGAGGATCAAACTCCAGGCAAATTGCACACATTTGATGTACTGTTATCTTCTGTTCCAGTCCTTGGTTAACAGTCCTGAAGCAAAAGCAAACCTACCTAAATACCTTGAAGAGCTTAACAAAGAGACAGGAAAGGATCAAAGCACAATAAACAATTCTCCTGCAAACACAGGCGCTATTGTTACCATCCTGGATATGGTCTCCTATATCCCAGCAGAAGCAGAGGAACACACTATTCAAGTAAGGTGTTAAGTCTTACCTATACTTATCATGCCTTTTGTCCCCATTTGTCACAAAGGATTACATTCTTCCTGAAAAAAATTCCCAGTTAGTTAGGGTTAGGAACAGGAAAGTATCAAGGGAACAAGATGAAATGACAGTAAAGACACAATAAATTATTTATGATGAGGGTGGTGAGGCACTGGAACAGGTTGCCAAGAGAAGTGTGGATGCCCTGTCATTGGAATTGTTGAAGGTCAGGTTGGCTATCCCTGTCCATGGCAGGGTGGGTTGGACTAGATGATCTTTAAAGGTCAAAACGATTCTGTGATTCTATAATTCTATGACTAGAAGCAGAAATAGAAAAAAGAGTTGGAATAAGGATAGGGATCAAACAAAGAAAATCAATTAGAAGTTACAACAAATGAACGGCAAAACAAATCTTAGAAATACTTGGAAACTTTGATTGTGAGGTACAGAGGAAAAGTTCTGCTCTTCTGAGCAGAAAAGTGCTAAGAGACTTGATGTTTTATAGGTGGAGAACATTACACGAGACAGAGCGAGAAATCAAAGACAGCACAAAGGTTGAGAAAGAAGGGAAAGAAGGCTGGAGAAATAAAAATACTAAGTAATATGTAAAAAAAAAAAAAAAAGCCACACAGCTTTACTTCTGGAAACCTTAACTTGAAAACAGAGCATACAGAGGGTTAACAACTGAAGGTTTCACATGGATTGAGCAAAATAAGAAAATGCTGGGCTTTTTCAATAGGCAATTCTAGGACCATGCAGAAATTACCATCAGAAACCACACTGATTTGTATGGGATTTCAGTAACAGTATTATTCTGTTGTTACAGAATTTCCTCTCTGTAGTGGACTTTATTGTTCCTGATTCCACAAGTAAAGCTTGGGAAGAACTGAACAAAGAGATGGTACCCAAAAGTTCTTCATTACTGCAGTCAGTAGAAAATTTTTCCCTGCGCCTCCAACCAGTTAATAACACCATTCCTTCTGTCTCTGCAAAGACCCTTCATCTACAAGGTATAGTCGTCACAGGAAATAACGACACAGATTATAATAAGAACTTCAGCAGTACAGAAAACCTCACAGTTAATGTGCTCATTGGCAAAAATGAAATTCAGAGTCTAACCCAAAATTCAACCATTGTCAGTGTGATGTACTCAAAACTTGGACATATTTTGCCCCGGAATGGGCCTGAGTATGTGAATGGCTTACTGATAACAACAGTTGTGAGCAGCAACAGAAGCCAGAGTTTTGATATTAATATGACTTTTGCAAAGGAAAACTCATCTCTAAAGATGCCCCAGTGTGTCTTTTGGAACTTCACACTCAACAAGCATAGAGGAGGCTGGGATACTCGTGGTTGCACACCCACAGAAGTAGAAGGTAATATCGTTTGCTCCTGCAATCACTTGACATCATTCTCCATTTTGATGTCACCTGATAAATCCTCCCACGTAATCTTTGAAGATTATATTACCTACATTGGCTTGGCCATTTCAATCTTGAGTTTGGTGGCCTGCATTATAATTGAATTCTTAGTCTGGAAATACGTGACAAACAACACAACCTCCTATATGCGCCATATCTGTATACTCAACATAGCCACATCACTCCTGATCGCTGACATTTGGTTCATTGTCACTGCCTCCATCAATGACCAAAACCAACAGAAGAACAGAAATATCTGTTTCGTGGCCACCTTCTTCATTCATTTGTTCTACCTATGTGTCTTTTTCTGGATGCTCAGCCTGGGCCTCATTCTTTTCTACAGACTGGTCTTCATCTTACATAACACAAGCAAGACCACTCAGAAAGCAGTGGCATTCTGTCTGGGATATGGATGCCCCTTTGTCATTGCAGTCATCACCCTCGCTGTCACACTGCCAAGGAACAGTTACACCAGAAAGGATGTCTGCTGGCTCAACTGGAAGGACAGCAAAGCTCTCTTGGCCTTTGTCATACCAGCCCTGATCATCGTGGCCATGAATTTGTTCATCACCGCCGTTGTTATAATAAAAATACTGAGGCCAACTATTGGGGATAGGTCAAACAGGCAGGAGAGGAACTCTTTGTTTCAAATTGGCAAGAGTGTGGCCATCTTGACACCACTGTTAGGCCTCACTTGGGGATTTGGCCTTGCCACTGTCATCAAAGACAGCCATCGAGCTTTCCACATCCTCTTTGCTCTGCTCAATACTTTGCAGGTGAGTTACACATATGTATGGTTTTGTTTCCTCTAAGACCACTTAACATGTAGTGCCACTCTTGCAGTGCTGTGCTTGGAGGGGGAATAAAAACAGCTTGGGAAAGATCAGGGTTGCCTTACACAATCTTATTCCCAAAGGGCTCTTTGAGAAACCCATTCCAGGAATTCAGCATTATTTCATATTCTCAGCTGCCTTAACAAATGTGTCTTACACATAAAGCTGACAGAGATAACTTCCAACTTTGCCTGTAACTTTGGGAAGAACTTAATTCCTGAAGAGCAGGAATATAGCCATATTATGTTCAGGTGGGCAAGTTTCAGCATGTCTGGTCTCATTTACAGTGCATGTGGAGGCATCATATTATGCTTTTGTGGGTTCAAGTAATGGAGGAGTATAAAAACATGAAAGACACCAAGAACAGCTAAGTAGTACTAGTAATAAAGAGAAGAACCAACCAAAACACACATGACTGAGAGTTTTCGTTAGTATGAATTTTACAATATATTTAGATGGCCAGTAGGATCCCAATGCAATGGGATCTCTCAAGGATACAATAGTTAAGTATACTCTGCCTCTTTAAAACAGCCTCAAAATTGTTTGCTTCAGACCAAACTCACTTGCCTTTTATATTGTGAGCCTGCAAGCTTACCTGGGGAGCATAAGCAGGGCATGTGTTCCACACACAAAGGTCCCTTCTTCCAATCATGTTCACTGATAGCAAACCATCTGTGGCACTTTTGTAGACCAGACATACACACAGTTTAAGTAGGCCAGGACTGGAGAACTCCTGCCAAATCAGCAGATCATTTTGTGAGATGCAGATGGAAAAATGCCCTCTATCAAAGAGTTCAGAGTTTAAATAGTCAACATGGATGATGTTTGAGATAATTATGCAGTACTGCAATTAAAAGGTTGGCATTATCAAACTGCATGTAATTATCTGTCTCCTAGGGATTATTCATTTTGGTGTTTGGGACTCTCTGGGACAAGAAGGTAAGAATTCAAACTATTTCTTATGTTATATGAAAATACAGTTGGAATTTGAACATAATTACTGTATTTACTGATTATTTTTTTTTTAACAAATAGATACAAGAAGCCCTGCTGAAGAGGAATTCAACGTCCAAATGGAGTTCGCAGCAAACAAAGGTTAGAACCTTGACCTAAGAATGTATTTCAGAGTTACTGCTGACATTCTCCAAGTGTCTTTTAAGTCAAATGCACTTTATATTCTAAATTAGTTATTAGAACTAGTCAGAGAAAGAGAAGACACTAACAACATAAATACGAATATGCCCCCTTTTTCAAAGTTCACTATTTCACCTATAATTGGTAAAAAATGAGCAAGAGGTTGGTGGATAGTTGCTCTAAATTCCACAAGAAATAAACCAGAAAATGTAACTGAAACTTTAAGTCAGAAACCAGAAAATTTCTGTGGTACCATTATTTATTCACAACCTAAGAGAAATGCAAAGGGAACTTCTTGGGGAAGATGCCCTTCAGCTATGAGCAGAAAAGGATGGAGATATTGCAACTTGAACTTGTGAGACAAGGTGAACAAGTGTGACAAGCCTGAACTTTATCCTGGGAACAGAAAATGGGACAAAGTATGAATCTTTTGTCAAAAATTATGTCTATGTGCAGCAAAGACTCAGATTTCAATGAGCAAAAACCAGAACATAAATGAATGTGTTTCTGGAACCAAGTGGCCTGGATACACTCCTAGAAGAGGAGAATATGACTTGGGTGTCATGCCCAGCAAATCCCTGAATTTAATCCAAAACATTCAGTGTCTTAAAAAAAAATAAAAAAAAAATAATGTTGCAAACAGGGACTGTATCCTTAAGGAAGATCCTGGAAGGCTTATCTTCCTTCTGCAGAGACTTCCTCTGGGCCAGTGACTCTTGCACCCATCCCTGTATTGAAGCACATCTTGAATGGGTGTCTGGAAATGCCTCTGCTGAGGACAGGCATTCCTATTAAAGGGGAAAAACTGTTCATAGAATCATAGAACCATAGAATGGTTTGGATTGGAAGGGACCTTAAAGATCATCTAGTTCCACCCCCCCTGCCATCAGCAGGGACACCTTCCACTAGACCAGGTTGCTCAAAGCCTCATCCAACCTGGCCTTCAACACTTCCAGGGAGGAGCAGCCACAGCTTCCTTGGGCAACCTGTTCCAGTGTCTCACCACCCTCACAGTGAAGAACTTCTTCCTAATATCTCATCTAAACCTCCCCTCTTTCAGCTTAAACCCATTTCCCCTAGTTTTGTCATTAACTGCCCTTATGAAAAGTCCTCCCCCAGCTTTCTTGTAGGCCCCCTTCAGGTACTGGAAGGTCGCTAGAAGATCTCCCCAGAGCCTTCTCTTCTCCAGGCTGAACAGCCCCAACTCTTTCAGCCTGTCTTCATAGCAGCCCTCGGATCATCCTGGTGACCCTCCTCTGGACCATCACAGTTCAACTGCCATCTTTAAAAGAAAAAGTAAAGTTTGCACAGTGCCTCAGATAAATGAGTGGTGTGGAATGCAATTAGGACAGAAACGCATTTCTGAACAGAGATGTCACAGAATCATAGAACAGTTGAGGTTGGAAAGAACCTTCAGAGATAATCTAGTCCAAAACCACTGCTCAAAGCAAGGTAAACTACAACAGGTTGCTTGAGATACTGTCCCATCAGGTTTTCAGTATCTTTAAAGCTGGAGAATCCACTAACTCTTTGGACAATAACTTGTGGTGTTCTGCCACCCTCAGCATAAAAAAACCCCCAACGTTTTCTTATTATTAAATGGAATTCCTTCCATTTCTGTTTGTGCTCCAGAGAGCAACACTCTGAAAAAAATGCTGAGTTGCTGTTTGAAAACAGTAAAACAGAGCTCAGCTGCTACAAGCTACTGGGCAACTGGAAGGAAGGCAGGAATAACGGATACAACTGTCATTAAACATTGTCAGTTTCTTCATTCCCTCCTGGACTGATACATCCAGCAGTGTCAGTCACATTTCAGCAGCAGCAGGTTTCTCCCTTCCCACCTGGGCTGTAGAGAGTTGTGTTCTAATGCCCTCTAGTGTGTCAAGTTAAATTTGCTTCTGTTTACCTCAGGCTATTTGCCTTCAACGACCATCCCCAAGCATATAAACCTTAGCTTTTCTGGATACACTCCCTCAGGTAAGGGACCAGAACTCTGTACTCTCTGATGTGACCGACTCTGGAGCCTAAGCCATGTTCCCCAGACGTCAGAGACAAACTGATTGTGTCCTGTAGTTTCTTTTAAAGTTGATCTCCTTCATTGCCATCACAAACATGTAAATGGGTGAATCTGATGCCTCACAACACCTAACTTGTTCCCCTGTGGATTCCCCGCTTGTACTACTGAACAATATTTTATTGTTGTTATTTTATGAGCGCATGTCTTATGAGTTCATGGCTGAGGGAACTGGGGTTGTTTAGCCTGGAGAAAAGGAGGCTGAGGGGAGACCTTCTGGCTCTCTCCAACTCCAACAGGAGGGTGTAGAGAGGAAGGGGTGGATCTGTTCAACTAAGGAACAAGTGACAGGATGAGAGGAATTGGCCTCAAGTTGCACCAAGGGCAGTTGAGATGGGATGTGAGGAAGAATTTCTTTCCTGAAAGGGTTCTCAGGCATTGGAAGGGGTTGCCCAGGGCAGTGGTGGAGTCCCCATCCCTGGAGGGATTGAAGAGTCGTGTAGACATAGTGCTGAGGGACATGGGTTAGTCAAGGACTTGTCAGTGTTGGGTTAATGATTTGACTTGATGATCTTAAAAGTCTTTTCCAATCTAGGCAATTCTGTGATTCTGTGATTTTAACCTTTCTTCCCCCTGCCTCCAATATGGCTACATATAAAGTTCTAGGCTTTTGACAAAATGCAATTTTCTCTCTGACAGTCATCCTCCCTGATCCTGGTGACACCAATGCTTGCCATGAGCTATCCATTTTCAAGAACCTTTAACAACTTATGTGGAAAAACAGGTATGTGACAACAGATCTCTCCAAATGAAGCACAAGCAAGGTTTTGCCTGTGTTCTCACTCTTAGGGTCTGTCTATCCTAATATCTACAAATGTATTTGTCTATTCATCCATCCACTGATGGTCCTTCATCTTCTAATACAAAGGAACTGTAATAAGGCATCGGAATCATCAGCATAATTGCTCATGATTGCAGCATAATGCTAGCAGCATAATTGTCTAATGCTAAAACAAGTATTGGAGGGTGCCATGTTTCACCAGTTCTAAAACCCACTAACTGAGCTTTGTTTTGAGCTTAACGGTATCACAACACAGTGCTCCTCATTTAATTTTCTGTTCATGAACTCTTCACCACCTTGGAGTTGTAGCTCTTCAAAAGTTCTCTGGTAATCATTTTATGGATGTCACCATTTCAGTTATGACTTTATTTTGCAAGAAGCATTTCTGAAAATACGAGTAATTTAATTCCTAAATGTGCAATCTTCTCATCTAACCATTGCTCAGAGAAGATGGTGACATTTAGTCAAAGTGGGATATGAAGGAGTTTAATATAGGCAAGCAACTGCTTTTTAAGAGTCTGTTTATTAGTCAGATAATGTAACAAGAAGTTGGTCTCTGACTGTGCTACAGTAAGTTTACATGATTACCCTAGCCAGATATATAAGTCTCCCACCACAAGAATGAGACTTGCTCACATGATTCTGTGATACAGAAACCTTCCACTGCAAGAATGAGACTTGCTCACAACTGCCTCCCATGGTGCTGCCACATGAAACTCCCATATTGTTAGCACTGTCTTCCACACTCTGCCCTTGGGCTCTGTGCACCTGGGTCTTGGTTTAGAGCCTCACGGTCACAAAAGAGAGGCAGCTGGGATTCATCTCAAGAGCATGTGTTCTAGATGCATTCCCACGCTCAAGGAAGACCACTACCTACCTCCATTTGTGTAAATTACTACTCTATGGCATGATCATCAGTTTTAGCTGACATATCCTGGCTGTGTCACCAAACACATTGACTTCTGTGGTTGCTGGTATTGCTGTAATCCAGCTAGTAACAGGGCTGCAGACCAAGTCAAAGCCACCCAGGTCATCAGGACAGGTCTAACGGTCCTTGCTTTGCAGTGGCAACATGTCCCATGCTATCTGTCCTTATGTCTAACCAGTATGCTTTGTTTTGCAGGAAAATACAGAGTATCTTCTTCAGAGCCATCCACCTCTTCCTCTGAAAACACTTCCAAGTCATATTCTTTGCTTAACTGAGGCACTGCAAATGCTGAATCATGTAACTCTGAAAGGACCTCTGCCCTTTCCAAGCCACATACAAAAAGAACCTGTGGGTCATCAAGAAGGGGACTGCTTCACTTTGACTAGACTGTGCCTTGGTGCATTCTTCTGGAATAATCATTTCTGGTTAACATGTAAGGCAGCCAAGCTTTGAGAGGTGGAATTTTACAGGGACTGCCAATCCCAGAAGAGATGACAAGATGTTTCAAACAAGGAGGGATTTGAAGGCCTTCGAATGCTGGAAAAGACATCAGGAGTGAAGAATTCTCAGCATTTAAGAGGGTGCTTAGCACTATGCAGTACTGAGCCATGAATTGCAATGCTGTACACAGCTGTTGTCCAGCGGTTTTAGTATTTCCGCTATCAACTCTCTGAATGACTCCAAAGGCCTGCATAGATACACAAGTACCTCACAGCTTCTCTCCTGCTTTTGTATTAAAGTCTGAAAAGGCCATAGGGTATAGTGCTCTACACTTTCTATTTAAGAGTTTCTGGAACCAAAGATTCACAACTGAGAAGGTCCATTTCAGATCTTCATTTTTGACTTAGAGACAATGAAGACAGTGATGATTCCTGCGTGCTCTTCTTTCAGATGGAATGTACTGAAAGCTCCATGTGGCACTTTTTTGAAGAAAAGGAAGTTTTATGTCTTTAACTAAAATTGTCCTTCCCTTGATATGCAATGTGGTAAGACAGAGATGGTTGCTGCCCGCTACCACAGAGGGGACTGCATTTATTTAATGTATAGTAGGGTTAAATATGCATGGAGTCTCTCGTGTAAAGTCTGTATGTTTGGGTCTCCTCTCAGAGGAGGATCACGCTTGGAGGGCTTAGAGAGTCAACTCTGCAGTGAATATACACCATCATGCACCAGGCAGGATGAAAGGTTTTATATAAATTATTGCTCTAATACTACATTTGTGGAATCAGTTATTTCCAAGCCTGTGTACCATTAAAGGCAGGACTCCTGTCTTTAGCAGAGGGCTGTGAGAGAGCCTGCAAAGTATTTATAGTGCACACAAATATTCCAAAACTTAATGTAAAATACGAGAAATGGAATTGTGAAGATTTTGATTTGAGGCCAATAACAAATACTACTGTCAGGTAGTACGGCCCCGTTTGGTTGTCGAGGAATCAGGCCTATGTTTACCAGTGGAAAACCTGTTCCCAGGACTTTGGGATGAACCAGGATGGGAAACTCTTGCCTACAACTGCAAGCAGGTGTGACAGTTTGGTATGGGCAGGCAGTGATGACTGAAGACAATAAACAAGCATCAGTCAAATGTATTGTTTATATTGAAAGCAATTTACTTTTGCTTGAAGATGTAATATAATACTAGAACAGAGCTAGAGATTAAGAAATATTTTGAAATCCAGAATCTCTTTGAACTGCATGGCCAGTGGAAACTTGAAAATCAGACCCTGACCCACTATTCCAACCAAAATTTGCTTTTGCACAGCATTTGGTCTAACACACACTGGAAGTAGCTTGTGCACTATTGACCTGCTGCAGAACCAATCACTCCCACTGAGTTAGAATAGGCTTTACTTAAACTGTAAATTACAAGTCCCTGTAGACAACACAGTCCTACCACACCTCATCTCTGTAGACATTTCACCTCTGAGGTTTCACCACACCTCTCAGTTTGGCTAAGCATGGGGTGTCTATTATATGTGAATGAGAAACCAGGATGTGATGCCAAGCTGTCTGGCACTGAAGGGCCATCTTTGGATGGATCTTCAAAGGCAAGACCCTTGCCAGTGTTACAAAAGTCATGACAGTTCATGAAGGCAAAGCAGCTAAGAAATTAACTGTGCCAGTCTTAAAGACTTGAGGCCAAGGGTTCGCTTGTATTTACACATGGATCAAGATAAAGAGGAGAGAAGAAAAGGGACAAGGGAATACTCAGTGGAGAAAGAATAGCAAATACATGGCAGCAACCACCCTAGACCCCTCCTACCCATTTTTAGTAGCAAGAACTAGGTCTTTGGTACAAGCAACGTGGGCAGTGGTCTCACCAACAGCTTGCTCCCTTCAGGAGTCTGGTATTTTGGGCAGCTGGCTATTTTTGGGTAGCTGGTTCAATCCTTCCATTTTTCCTGATTAAACCCCAAATCTCTCCATTCACTCTACTTCCTGAAGTGTGGGCTGTCACAGGGCTTGTTCCCTGATGATTGCTGTCACTTATGCATCCTCCCCTGTTTATCTGCAAGGCACTAAGGTAAAGTGTGTTGCAACAAAAACCTACCAGGTTCATCTGATCTCTGGCAAGGGTGGGATCTCTCCCTTACTCACCTTTTATAGCACTGGATGGAGAACAGTCACTGCTTTGGCAGCTTCCTCTGATTTATTCCAGCTCAGGAAAAATAGTAAAGGAGGGGATTCTGACATAAGGGTCTCTGAAGCACAGATCTGTTTTCTCTCACACACCCTGCTTAGAGTCTTTTGGATTTTGACAGTTGCTGAACAACTCTTATATGTGCTGCAAACCCAGGTTCACCCTTCATTCCTTAAGGACTTTGGGAACCTTCAATATGAACAATGCAAAGAGCCCAGGGCCATTTTATCCACGTTACAGTGGCCAGTGAAAATCAATGTGTCCCAGAACTGGGTTTACAGGTGTGCAGTTCTGATACCTTTTCTTTGGACCATGAAGCCAATTACACTCTGATCTCTTGTTTTTTTCACGGCTCAACAGTCTCGCCAGCATGATTGCTTCCTATATTGCCCCAGGAAACATGTTTGGGAAACATGCATTTTGGAAAAGTCAAGCTAGGCAAGAATAAAAAGTCACCTCTCTGGCCCATGTACACAGTGCCCAGTATGTAAGGTATGTCCAACTGCAAGTTACCTTGTAGCACCTGTGACCTCAGGTGGATGCATTAATCCCATGAGCAGGAGAAATGAGGTTCATTTAATAAAATCATAGAATTAAAGAATCACAGAATCATTAAGATTGGAAAAGACCTCTAAGATCATCAAGTCCAACCCTGAATCCAACACCACCATGCCCAATAAACCATGTCCCTCCACCTCAGCGGTGTCCTGTGCGTCACCCTGGCTGTCTAACAGGCAAGCGCTTGAGAATGGTGTGGTCTGGTTGTATCTCCTTGAAAAGAGGTGTGCATTGCATGCGGTAACACTGCTGGCTTCTTGTAGGCGTCACCCGCAGCTCGCTCCCTTCCCTGGGTGGTAGTCACCCTACCATGGCTGCAGCTTTTCCTGGACTGTAAATAAACCACTGCGTGGGTGTGGTGGTTTCACTTGGCTGGCACTTGGGTAACACTTGGGTAACACTTGGCTAGCAGCTAAACACAGCCTCCCGCTCACTCCCCCCACCCAGGGGATAGAACTGGGGACAAGGGTAAGGAGATTTGTAGGTTGAGATAAGAAAAAATTAATAATTGAAATAAAATAAAACTTAAAATAAAAATTATATAACAACAACAACAATAATAACAATAATACAATAATATGCAAATGACTGATAGTGATACTCAGTGCCATTGCTCACCAGCTGCCAACCAAGCCCGGCCCGTTCCCAGATAATGATCCCGGAGGAGCGACAATCCCGAACCGAAACTGCAATTCCAGAAGAGCAAAAGCCTGAAAGAAAACCAGAGAGAGCAAGAGAGGGAGATACCCTCATTAATATACTGACCATGATGTGATATGATATGGACTATCCCATTGGCATAGCCACATGCCAATTTAGCTTAATTTAAAGATTCCTTGCCTCCCCCCACACAAGGTCTTGTGTTTGTAGACTAACAAAACATAAAGTCCTTCACTTCAAGCAACAAAAATGAAAACACTGGTATGTTATCAACTTTTCTCTCATAACAAATCCCAGCTGAAACCAAAACACAGCACTGTTCTAACTACTAAAAAGAAACCCAGTGCCATCTCAGCTGAAAACGGGGACACTGGGCCAAATGAGAGCTTGCAGGATTTTTCAACTTGTTGCCTGTCTGGAGGAATCACTCAAAGCAATGGCCTCAGGAGGGGGTCCTGGTTGCCTCTCGTCCAGCACTGCTGTGAACATTACCCATACCATTTGGTCTGTGCTGTCCCCAGGGCCAGGTCCTTCTTCCCCATGGAGCCTCCGCTTCAGATCCTGTTTTGCCCTGCCTGAGTAAGTGAATGAGGCAAGTTCACATCCTTGAGTGATGATATTTATTATTAGAAAATACACAAGAGACAAGACAAGCACCTTGCTTGAGAATAACTACGGTGACAGCACTTCCTAGGGGACAACCTAAGCTTGGGGCTGGGAGCTGGCAAAGCTACACTTGCTTCTTCGGTCAGACAGTCTGAGCTGTGCCTTTCACATCTCTTCCTCATAGCCAAGAGCTACAAGCAACACTGACAACACCTGGTGGCACCAAAGGATCTTCTGTAGGCTACATGGATCATTTGCAGGAGGTAGTGTCTTCCTTCCCTATGATCCAGGTCTCCAATCTCCATTACCTTGGACCATTGTTGCTTCCAGTTCAATTCTGTGAGGTGAAATAGGTGGGTAAGGCAAGCAAGATAGCAACTGCTGCAAACCCATGCCAGGACTGCAGGTCTGTAAGCCAGCTCCACCACATGTACAGGCCTGGGGTACACAACTGAGACTGATGTTCTGCACTGAAAGCCTGTGGGTGGAGGTTAGAGAGAAAGGGATTTGTCATCCTTTCCATTAGGGCCACAAAGATGATGAGGGGCCTGTAGCATCTGCCTTGCAAGGAGAGGCTGAGAGAGCTGGGACTCTTCAGCCTGGAGAAGAGAAGACTAAGAGGGGATCTGGTCAATGTCTATAAATATCTGAAATGTGGGGGGGGCAAATGGATGGGGCCAGGCTCTTTTTGGTGGTGCCCGGTGACAGGACAAGGGACAGTGGGCAAAAACTGGAACACTGAAAGTTCCACACAAACTTAAGGAAACGGTGAGGGTGCCAGAGCCCTGGGACAGGCTGCCCAGAGAGGCTGTG